TAATAAATAAGCCATAAGCAAATCAAGATCAAGCCCAGTTTGAGTTATTTGTGGAAGAAAGCCGTAACAGTGAAGTGTATATCACCTATTTAAAAAAAACACCAAAACATGCCATAGAAGTGTAATAAAAACTGTCATAAGGAAATTACCATATATGGTTCCTCGCCCGATAAAGGGTTAAGAAAATTAGAATTGCTTTTTTCACAATTTTCTGTCCTCATGTCCATGCATACAACCCCAGTATCACCATGCCTGTATGCAAACATTAATTGCCCCAGTGTCTTATATGGGAAAATAATATAAGAGTTGTCCTTCAGAAACAAAGTGGTAACATTTCTACAAAATGAGAAGTGTACCTTCCATAATGTCAAACATCTAGCAGGCATAAAGTTGGCTTAAAACAACAAGTTTGTAATCTGTAACTTATTGCTTAACAGTATGGAAATACAAAGGTGTTGAAAACACATTAGAGGACATGAAAATCACAAATAAAGCTGACAAAGCAATCTCTGCTACAATTTTAACATCTACACTTCCAATGACAACTGTGAAAACTCCTGCTGAAGAATATCATGTGATTAAAAGCTCCAGAACAGCTACTATTTGGAGCTTGTGCTGGGATCCTTTTGTCAACTGTTCTTTCCAAGGACAAGAATGATCACCAAGTCCTAAATCACAAATAAAGTTAATGTGCCTGTGAAGGGACAAATAAGAGAAAAACAATGATAGGTCACCCCATGCTGTGACCTTATTGCTATTCAGTGATGACTATATTCATATTATATGACTCAATCAATAATGACTAGGCGTTATTGATGAGCTTTGCACAGATACAAATTGCATTTTTTCCCCCTCCTTAGAGACTGGATGGGTTAAACCACTTCTGCTCTGTATAACAGATGAGCATTCAGCCCATCGACGGATATCATAATCACAGGGTGGCTTTTATCTATTAGAGCTGTCATACCCCGTGTCATGTGCTGCGGTTCCCCACGGGGACCCACGGCGGTGCGGAGGTCGATCCACCGACTCTCTGTCCCCTCCCATCGCCGTCCCCTGCCGCCGTGCGCGGCCACACCTGCATTAAACGGGGAAAGTCCGTCCGGTGGAGAGGCAGAGAGACTGGAGCGCTACAGAGAGCGGACGCAGGAAGCGGAGCACCTTCAGCAGCTCCCATCGCCAGACCCTGGACACTGATCCGAGAGGGTGAAGCCATGAAGACATGAAGGCAATGAGTGGTGGTACTGAGACTTTGGAAACCCTGGACACAGGCAGTGGATTAGGAATGAAGACGAAATAGACCGGCACGATCCAGAATAGAAGAGACCGAGTCTGAGCGGCTGAGCGCACAGGTAAGATGTTTCTGATAAACTAAATAGAGACAGAAAGGAGCTGCCCCGTTACAACTTTTTTCATTTTTATTCAAACAGCTTGTCATTTTGAGGATCTATTTTCTTTATTTTCACTCTAAACTTGTTTGTGAGTGATTTTAGGTTCAAAATTCTAATTGTTTCTCTTATTACCCAATGAAAACAACAATAATAAACAATGTTAAATATAGCGATGATACCAATTATAGCTATTATTACTGAATTACAAATCTAACATTCCTCATGCAGCCTGTGTGTGGTAATCAATAACCTAGTGAGTTTATATCGAACTTATATTGACTTTCTGATGCATTAAAAAAATGAATGTTGGATTTAATTACTTTTTTTCTTCGTTAAACTGTGGCATAATATTTGTTAAATAACTATTAATAAAAACCTACATGTGTTAAATAACCATAGCTGAGTATGTGCTGGTGTCTTCACTTTCCGTTTTTACCTTTTTGTTTTGTTTTATTTATTTATTTATTATCTAATATATTAAGACAGATGACTTAGTTATATATTTCTATTTTCGTGCATATTATTAGTTTTCTTGCTACTTTTTTGGCTAACCCTATCATATTTCTCTTGATCTTAAAAGTCATCTAAAGTTCCCAGATGAAAACCAACCACTATTGTTTGTAAGGCTGGAAGGCTCAACTACAATAAATACTGCCATCTTTTGTTCACCAGCCACTCATTGTGTAATGTTCTTACCTGCATCTAAAGCACACAAGACTGCGTATTCAGAAGCATTAACCTCTTAACACATCTATTGTTATGACTTCTACTTATCTATGAATTATCTTAGTTGTTTTGTCACTTCCCCCCCAGTAACAGCAATGTAATGTTTGTTCTGGACTTTCCAGGAAGAATGAGCTCTCTATTTTGCTTCCATTAAAAACAAGGAAGTAAAACATGTTGACGTTGTATCACAGGCTTACCTTTGCACCAACAGAATGGTGTGTAGGCCTACATAATACACAGTAGATCATCAATACTTAAGGTTACTGTCATACTCTGAGGTCAGTTTTTGCTGCATTGTGGAAAATTCATAAACCACAGAGAGAGGAAGTGTTGTCGATGCTGTATAGCTACTGCGATTGGAACAGATCAATGCACTGACCAGGCATGACCCCCTCTGTTACTTTGCTCATATAGATCTGTTCTATCTAATCTAAAGACCAACGATGAATCATGACAGGGCATCTGAAATAGGTTACATGCTGTCTCTCTCACTAACACCAAATATACTTTAGAGATCTTTTAAGATGAGGTCTAACTCTTAAAAACAAGTCAGGCTGAAAACAACATGTGATAGACCTAATTAGAAAAGAGCCTGAAGTCAACACAGAGCGCTGGATGAAAGAACAGGAGGAAAACAAAGTGAGTCGGTGATTGTGTCTGTGGATGACCGTGCAAAGTGGAGGAGTTATATGACAGCTCTGTATAGGTGAGGTGTGTGTTTGGGGTTGTGTACAGGTCTGTGTGTGTGTGTGTGTGTTTGTGTGTGACATGGATGCCAGACAAAGAGTAGAGCAGAGAGTTGGCCAGAATCTTAAATATCCCCGAGAGGCATTTTGTTTCACAGTCAGCAGATACGCAGAGTCAGGCATGTAGTGTGTCGTCAATAGCAGCTGTACCGACTGCGTCCACCTCTGTCCCTAGCTGGGGCACAAAATGTGTCCACCTCCTATTCAGTCCAACTAATTCAATGTAGAGAAAGATGGTGAAAGATTATATAGACATTTTTGTGTTGAGAAAAGTCATTTTCTTTTTTGCCTAACCATCTCAAAATAATACAATATAATTTTGAGCTGCTCTATGTAAAATTTTTCTATGGCAACGTTAGCAGCTTGATGAACATTAGTAGACCAACATCCTCACACTGACAATAGCCTTAGCCTACTAAGCTGATGTTTAGCAGGAATGATGTTTGCCATGTTCACTATCTTAGTTTAGTTTGTGAGAAAGCTAACATTTGCTAATTAGCACTGAACACAGTACGAGTACAGAAGAGGCTGATGGGAAAGTCATTAGTTTTGCAGGTATTTGGCTGGACCGTTTCTTGGCCATGACCAGTTGCCAGGCAACCAGGAAGTTACAGGTCTAGGCCAAGTAATAATCTGGCACAACCTAAAATAGCGAATTGCTGTTTTTACACCTTGGTTTTTGTACAAATTAAACAAATATGATTCAATGTGTTAATTAATGAGGTTTAGTGGGGCTGGCATCATCTGTTTGTACCACATTTGGCAATCCATTCAATAGTTGATATATTTCACTTAAAACTGCAAATGTCAATCTCATGGTGGCACTAGAGGAAAAAAAAACCCATGTCATTTAATTCTCTAGGGAATATGAAAGTTTGTACAAAATTGAATGGCTAAAAAATACCAAAACAGCTTCTCAACCTAAATCATAAGGAGCTGCTGCAGTATAGAGATGTCACTTCAATCAGCGGGCAGACATCGAGCCATTTATCACAGTCATAATCACTAGACAGCCAATATCAAATTAGAATATGCTGAATATCACCTCTGAACCCACTAGAGGAAAGGAGGAGGGTTAAAAAAACAAAGAAGAAAAAAAAGAAAAGGTAGCCTCTTTTCCATCGTCAGCAGGAGTGAAGCAGAAGGGGACCAGCATGTTAATTGGTGATTTGATTAGCGTTTTAATATTGCAGCTGTGCACGACAGAGGAAAGCAACCGGCTGTCCAGAGGTTTCTCTTTTTAAATCATCAGTGACTCCTCCAATGCATCGCCCGACACAGCTTAGTCATTATGCACGGCATACAGTTAATTTCCAGAAACTTCCAAAAATTGCCCCTGTTTGGTAATGGAGACTATTTGATGGAAACAGTAATATTCAAGCCATTTTGAGTTGGGCCCAGCATGTAAGAGCCATATTTGGTTCCTGCCATAGTAAAAGAGCTGAATGGGGCCCACAGCCTGTGCTAACCTGAACTAGATTGGGCTGGGCTACATTTTGTCTACAGCAGTGTGTACCACCACTGAGAGGTGGAAGCTTTAAAAAGAGGGAAATGCCACATGCCATGTTATATAACAGATGGAAAATTTTTTCTGTACATTTTCATGAATCATATTTTGATTATCTGGGCCTATATTGTGAATGTGTGTTTGTGTTGGGAGTTAACAATACAGGGGAATTTTACTGAGGTTGATGAATAGGTGGCTTTCTGATGGGAATGATGGGTAGTAGATGCAAGAGGAAATTAGGGGGTAATGACACCAAAATCTCTCTGAGAAAACAGTGTAAACACCACAGCATGAAGACAGGTGCAGCACAATGTGTATATGTATGTGCTTGCATGCGTTGTGCCACAGGGGCTTTAAATCAGGCAGCATTACCTGGAGCCAGAGGGGAATCTGTGGCAAAGACAAGTAATCCCCCCCCTCCAACCCATACACACATCTCTTTCTCCGACACCAAAACGCCAGAGCAGACAGCAGACGGGGGAGATAAGAAGTTAGCCAGATAAAGGAGCATTGGTGGTGAGACAGATGAGAAGAGGAGGGAGGTAGAACAAAGTAAGGAAGGTGTGGAAGGCTGGGTAGATAAGCAGGGAAAACAGATGGGGATGAGAGTGTGTGTTTGTATGTGGATAAGGTGTCAGGGGGGCAGGTCTTGGCTGGTCGTGCCGGTTGGGGTGATGCTGTGCCATAAGCTGAGAAATGAGCTCGCTCAGGAAGGGTGGAATTAAACCAGGAGCCAGAGAGTAAGAGGGAGAAATGAAATGGGAGAGGTCTGTTTAACGTCTCCAGAAATATCAGTGACCATTAAGACTGCTAGTGTGCAGCATGCTAACAAACTCACAGTGACAATGCTGATGCAGGTATAATGTCTACTTTGGTAACCATTTTAGTTACAACTGCTAATTAGTACGAAACAGTCCAAGGATGAACAGTCATAGCATCGCCAAAGTGACTATAATGCACTTGGCAATCATCCCATAGACATTCCACTCAAAATCAGAAATGTCAGCCTCATAGTGGCGCTGAAGAAAAAGTCAGAGAATCACCAAAGTTACACCTCTGGGAACCATGAATGTCAGTACAAAATTTCAGGGCAATCAATCCAATAGTTTTATAAAGATTTCACTTTAGACCAGAGTGGAGGCCTGGCCGCCTGACTAACCAGTACTGCCATTTCTGAAGTCATAAAAAGATAAAAAGAAATAACTGGATTGTGTTGAAAATGGCTATGGCTGCAACCTCTTGATTCCAGTTAAGAGGCACATCTGTGCATCTCCTCCCTTCTTAAATTTTAAGTGGCTCTCATTTTGATTGGGCACATAATTAAGACGATACGATAAAAGAAACTAATCATACGTCAGCTTCTAGAGAGGAAGCATCTTTGAGTTTTGAATAAAGTGATGCAGTTGCTGTTGAAGGGATAAGATGTAATTATTTAGCAGAGCTTGCTTATTTAGTGCTCTCCTTTTCTGTCCTGTAAGCCATAGGAGTGAGTTTACAGTACAGTATGTGCAGCTGATAAAAGTGTCTTTCTTTCTTTCTGTCTTAGGTTTTCCCTTGTGATCCCTGACAGAGCGAGGACAGTGAAACTGACTCGACCATTGTCTCTTCACTGTTTCCGGGCAGAGTGAGGCTCTCTGGGTGCCTCTGCGGTCCATTGTGACTGTAGAGAAGAAAGAAAGATCCAGCTTGTCTGCATAAAGACCTATTCAGCATCATTTCTCCTTGCCAGCTACACTTGCAACCCTAAGAACAGCAACGAAGTCTCTGCACTATCCCTAGCCCCAAGCCTATCTTCTAACCCCATTATCCCTATCCCACTCTCTCAGCCCATTCCTTTTCCCCAGCCTCAGCTTCAGCCTCAGCCTTCTGCCCCATTCGGAGTCCCAGATGACAGCTCAGAAACATCCGTTACCCTCCCACTCCACACAAGCCTTCTTTCCTCTCCCTCCAGCCCCCATGGCGCTTGGCACCAATGCCCATCACATAGACAGATGGAGCCAACCCTGACCCCTCTCCTCGCCCGTGGGGACGCCAAGAGAATCAACGCCTGACTAGAGGAGGGGGGTGGTGGGCGGTGTCTGTGAGTGCGTGTGGGGGTGACAGGAAGGAGGGTGGAGGAGAGTATTGCTTTGTCACCACGGCAACACATCGCCTTGTCTCCTGTGGACTTCCCTTCAGCCCAACCCAAGGCCCTCAGATGAAAACGCACACAGCAGGAAATTCAGCAGCAGGACAAGAAGGACCTCTTTTTTCTCCCTAAATTGTGCCTGACATATTTTCCTTGGACTATTTGGCAGATATAGCTTGTTCCATGTTGTGTGTGGAGAGAAGATGCTAACATTGACAAAATTCTAAATATAGGAAACATCATTTGAACAGAAACTGGAAACCACAAGAAGACAGATTCTGAAGAAAAGCCTGCTCTTCAGTCTTAAGTGTTCGCTGAAGTTTTCTGAACACCACAAAAGTTTAATTCTGAGACACTTCCTTTTCCCTCTGGCGTTTGTGATCTAAATGAACGACAGTAAGATAAGATGCAATCGCCTGGCAAAAATGTTGCCATTTTCACTTGCAAATCAATACGTGGGAGGGATTTTTTTACAGTAAGAGAACAACTGTTTTCATCGTGCTTTCTAAACCTGAATAAAGCAGAAGCTTGACCCTGACAGCAAAAAGGAAATACATGTGGGACTTCAGTCAGAACTTCCTTGGGTGTGCATGCATGCCTTTATCTAAGCTGCAACATCCTGCATTACACCTCTGCTAACTGGTCCATCATCTACTTCATGTCGAGGCATTTGTAGTTTCCATCGTCTGACTTAACCTCCCACCTCAGTTGCTGCAATTGTTACAAGAATTCTCTGGCTACTCCACTTTCGCTGGATGTCTTCTAACCTACTCTGCTGACCGGCATTCTGATTAGCATATAATGCCAGACAACCAATTTTAAAAGAACCACGTATCAACAATAAAATGAGACACTAATGGCCGGTGAAATGAATTCAGCGGGCTGACATAACAGAGGGGGGAATACCGGAGTCCCAAAGCTTCCCAGGTAATTGGAGTGCAGTATACTGTTTTTTACTCGAAAGCACAGCTCCTCTGGTGACCTTGCAAGCCGAAAACTTAGAGGAGGCAGATACAGAGAGAGAAAGACAGAGAATGATACTCCATGTCCACGGTTTACGATTATCTTTAGGATTTTCATAATTACCGTCAGTGCATTTGCATAACACAGACTGTTTGGACTGTTAGCGTCTTCAGTCATTTTAGTTCCAACTGCAGGGCTGCGCGTCCAGGGCACACTTATTATTCCTGTCACTTAAAGAAATCCATTTCAGATATAGTATCTGTTTAAAATAAATTTCTGATAATGATCACTGGTGCAGCTTCCTATAGCCTCTGCAAGATACTTCAAACAGTTAAATATGCTGATATAACCATCGGTTTTTGATGGTTAAGTTACTGTCAGATTTAATTGTCAATTCAAAACTCCCAAATTGGGCCAAATGAAGGAATAAAGTGGATAATCAATAATACTGTTTTTCAATTTATTTCTTTTTACAGTTGGATACAGTAGCACATCGTGGATCCATATTTTATGAATATGCAAAGAGCATTGTGGGAGTTGTGTGAAGATTAACAGCTGAGGTGTGAAGATTTATCATTAGACATGTCCAGGAGGTTTTTTTTAGTGCACAGGTGTAGAGGGCTGAAATGTTTCATTCCTGACTAAAGGCTCCTTTAGACTGTGCGACAACAACAATTGTGCTTATTGCATGTTGCACTGGGATAGATGGGTCTAGCAACAATCACATTGTGATGTTCACCAGCCACAGTTCCAAATCAGCCTTCATGACCAGTGATTTTTTCATTTTCATCATGATTGTCGACTCAAAATTGTGTGTAAAGGTGCCTTTAATTCCAGATGACCGGAGAGCTGAGTCATGTGGAGTTGTATAAACAGTTTGTGCCTCTGCACCTGATTTCTTTTCTCTATTACTTAAAAGGAGGCCAGTGGAGAGTGAAGCAGTGAGTCAGTGCTTTTGTAAAGATATTTATGAGGCCAATATGACACAGCTGATATGACAGAGTCTAGAGGTCATATAAGTGATAAAAGAGGAAAGGCAGACACAGTCCAGCGGTTCTGTGTGTGAACCTGTCTATGGGGATCAGAGTGTGAGAAACACAACATGGAGTAAGATATACGCGTCTCGTTAAGGGTTCGATTTCATCTTATGATCTTTGTTGCGTGTCATCGCCTCCAGCTCGATCACCCCTTGCGTCCCTGCTTCACTTTACTGTGAGCTATCTAAAGAAACAGAAAATAATCTTTCATTAACTTGTACTGCATGAAGGAAGATGTTCTTTTCAAAACCTTAATAAGACAAAGGTGGATAGTGGTGGAATATCACATGTTGTTGTCACCTTAACACCTTTTGGAGCCTCAATTTCAGACACAAAAAACATACACACACCTCAATTACTGTGCTATTTCTGTGGCGTTACCTGTCAGTGACACTGAGCTCAAACCAGCTGGGATTAATTAGTGATTAAACAAACACACATGCCCACACACATAAAAATACACCATAATCTCTGCCTTTCTGTGTGAAATACACAATCACATCACCAGTGAATAAACACACATGTCAACACGCACACACCTTTCACTTTTTACTACTCATTTACAACTGTTCATTCTTGCAAAACACACACACACACACACACACACACAATCATCCATCAGATACAGGATGTGAACGGCTTCCAGAACAGCATGTTGCCAATAAACACCCCTCCTTCTCTGCTGTAATTACCTCACTCTTCATTTCACACCTTGTGTATGCACCTCATATCTCCCCATGTCACGGCGTTACTGCTCTGCCTCAGCATAAGGCGATACCTGTCCACACTAATAGGAAATGTGATCTTGCATTTAGTTTATAGTCTTTTCTAAACAGGCGGAAGAATTTGGATAGAAATTTGTTTCTGTCACTGCATATAAACTGGTTTCTAGAGGTGCCACATAACAAGGTTTAAAAAAACAAGATTTTCAAGTCTGAATGTAAGATCATGTTTTGCTTGTTCAGATTGACATTTTTATTTTTTATTTTGCAAAGTAGTGTTTGTGTTAACGGAATCCACGGCCGGTCAGGACAAGCTGTAACTCCTGTCAGCTTGTGTTGGGCCGCGTGGGCTTGTGCCGCGCACTGCTGACTTTGATAGAAATAAAGCCGCTGACAGGTTTTAAAAGACAAGCTGTCGACAGCCACAACCTTGAGGAAGTTTGTTTGTGTGTGTATGCATGTGTGTTTGTGCTGTATATGTTTACATGTTTGTGGTATGGGGGTGTGATGAGGTTAGACACAACAGTAGAGAAATTAAATGTGCTGAGGTAAGGCAAAGACTGAAGGAGGAGAGGATAGGGAATAGAACAAAATATATGTGAAAAGAATGAAATTGGCAGGTATAATGAGCCTTTAACAGATGTGTGGAAAAACACAAACAATAAAACACTACAGTACAGTATGGACATTGCACACATTTGGGAGAAAAGAAGATTAAATTAAAGTACAGGAGGTTCAAATTAGAGGATTCATTGAGCGAGCTAGAGTGGGTGTGTGTGTTTGGGAAGACGAGAGAAAGAAAATTTACATTTGTACATTAGCTGTTTGATTGTGGAGGGGGGGCATTGTTTATTCTATCAGCAGCTGATGCTTGTTTTATCCAGCCACCTCAGTAGTGGCAACTCATTAGCATAGTGATAATGAGAGATAGAAAAGGTTTCCAGTGTCAGCACACCAAGTTTTTTGCACAGTCAAAACAGCAAATTTGGATGTTCAGAGAAACTGTGTGTATGCGTGTGTGCGCATCTGTAATTTGATTGATTTTGTTCTGCCACGTACTGCAAACATACACAAACTTAGAATATTAAAGAGTAACTTGACACCAAGCTGAATAGTACTGTTTCACTGACCATTGTTAGATGTCTCACCATTCCCAGCATCACTGTTGGTTTCAGTCAGAAGAATGTTCTATTGCACCTGTTTGTTTGCGCCTGTAACCACACATTACCAAGGTGTGCCGAACAATCCCTCTGGGTGCACTTCCACATCACTACAGCAAGTTCAACCATTGGAAGTTAGCACAAACAAGATTTTACGTTGGCGTGCAGTTACTCTTTAACTAGGTTTTACACAGGTCAGATTTTTCAAGGTGTGCAAAACAAGCAATCATTAAACCTGCACTTCAGAGAGCCTTTAATGGTCAGAATAGAGGGGTTAAAGTCCAAATTTTAGTGCTTGTTAAACCAAGCTCTGTCTAACTTATCTGAGCCCAGCCAGGGGTTTCCAAATTGTTTCATGTCGAGGACCCAATTTAGAGGCCAATTTGAGAGGATTTTGTCTTAAGGAATCCCCTCTGAGATTTTATTTTTATTTTTAGGTTTGAAGATAATAAAGTCTTCATAGTCAATTTATGACCTGGAACCTCTTTAAATTACAACCAATGAATTCTGTGATTTATGGAACAGACTATATGTACTGGTCAGTCATACAGTTAATGTCAGTCATGCACTATAAAAGATCAACAATTTTTTGTCCAACAGTGATATGAATTTGCTACATTTGTGTGGGCATAGCTCTCATGAATTAGAGAGGTTACACAGCTACCAGTGGCAGAGAGGGCACCCATCAGCAAATGAACACCACTTTATATATATATATGACAAATAGAATCCGACACTGTACAAACCCTGTTACATCTACATCTGTCTTCTCTTCCAGGTGACTGCCACGCTGCAAAACCAGACTGGAAATTCTGTGGAATTTTGGATTCTTTGCTTGGATGTTGAAGCTGTAAGGGGGATTTTGATCCATCTCTGTTATATAGTGTGAGCTATAATCATGCACACAGGACCAAGAGACCTAAACGGATGTTGTTAAACCTTTGCATACAAGCCAGAGTGGATAAAGCTACAATACACTGACCTCAATCAACTGTTTTAGTACTTTTGCTGCATTACATTCATTTTACTCGGTGTGTATACATTTTTAACTCAAGCCACCTTTGAGATTTTTTCGGGATAAAATACAGAGCAACCCTGTAAAACTTGTTGGTCCTGACACACTTGCGGTAAAAGTTGGTGAATAAAGTAAGGACTGAAAGGATTATCACGTGGATTCTGTCTTCTCTGTGGTGGTGGCTACCTTATTCAGCAGACTGGGAGTGGCATTAGGATGCCTGAACTGGACAACTTTGCCCCCTTGAGGGGTCCCAGGGGCCCTGAAATTGGTCTAAATGGTGCAGCAGACCCACTTCGGATTCAGCACAGCATCCTGGAGGAGCAGGTGGAGCTGTGGTGGTTCAGAGATCCTGGGAAGTCTCTGCTCTGCTACTGCGTGTCTGTACTTCTAATCCTGGGGTGCGGGCTGGGCGGCGTGGGCCTTCTATCCACTACCACCAGTGTCTCAAGCGAATGGCGGCTGGGGGCAGGCACGGCCCTCTGTCTGCTAGCCCTGGGGGTCCTACTGAAACAGCTGCTCAGTTCGGCTGTGCAAGACATGAACTGCATTCGTAGCCGACAGCGGATCGACGTACTAAAAAGTGGTGGTTTATCGGACCTCCTTGTCGTTTTGATTACCGGGCTGTCGTTGTTGATTTGTGGGGGGGTTCTACTACGTCTGGCCCTGGCTAACCACATGCCGAAGCCTGGTCAAGCTCTTAATGACATGTACATCTCTGGTGTGGTTTTGCTTGCTGGAGGGGGGGCTGCAGTTGTGGGCGTTGGGATATACTCTGTTGTGGTTGTCCTGCTTGAAAGGACAAGGCACGGACGAAGGTTGGTGGACCGGGTTTTGAATATCTTCACTGTTTCTGGACACATGGACCGTCACGCTCGCAGAGAGACTACCTCCAGTATGGCTAATCTCATATGAGTTGTAACCATACCAAGACTGTGTATTTTGGCCCCTTGGTCCTTATGTCAGAACATTTAGCCTCAACTAAATTAGAGCAGGATTTATACCCAAATATTACAAGAAATCTGATTAAAACAAAATTCATCCCATACATGCTTCAGCTTTGCCACTAGCTGATGTAACTGTCTATGAGGCTAAATTAGTTGAATTTTCAATATCTGCTTGGTGAGGATTTTGGCAATTAGCAATCAAATCTCAGTCACAGAGTAAGGTGTGAAATGATTGAAGAGTAACACACTGAAGAAGAATTGCTACATGGCTATGCTCACAATGCAGCTGAAAATGTCCCAGTTAAGATTGTTTTCCTCAACATCATTATCATTCCTCACAAAGCAGAAAGGGAGAAATAACTGTTGAGGAAAAAAACTCAGTGAAATTAAATCCATTTACATCAACATTGCCAGTCATAGAATGTCAATGCACTTGCAAAAGTTTGAATTAATTCAGATGCTGTAGCATATAATTTTATATGTAAGTGGTATTTGAAAGCTTAAATCAGCATTTTATTCTTTAATCTTACTCCATACACACAGGACAAATATAAAAACATTGGAGCCTGTGGCAGTTGGATAGAGGCAGTGTTAGTATGCAGCTAACAGTTATGAAAGTTGAAAAGAATGAAAATGAAAATGAAAAGCACACATCTGAGTTAGAACACATCTGAAACTAAAGGGAGAAGTGTTGGTTCACAAACAGAAGTGACATTCTTTGGTGTCATTGGATAAGTGCATCTGCCTGGAACTAAACACAAAGGCCTGTAGTGTCTGCAATGAAATGGGTCATTTGATTTATATAAAGTTCTTTCCACAAATTATATTTGAACAAGAAGTGGTAAAAGGATTAATCCTACACAGATGAAGTGACAAACCTTAGGTGACACAAGGTAATTGTTAAAGGGGTCATCTACAATTGGACTGCTCAATTATTGTAAGATATTATGGATAAGAGCACCAGCCAAAAGGCTAAAATGTAAATGAAAGATACAGAATGAGTGGTAGATGGGACAACATACATATGTATATTAAAAAAAAATCTTTTAAAGATTTTTTATTTTAAAAGTTTTTTTTATGATTTATGCACAATATATGACAATATTCAGCTGACAAATTTGAGGGATTCTTTGACTGTGGCTCAAACTGAGGTTGATCAGTGGGTCAGAGGTCCAGTAAACTCCGACTTTGGAATGACTCCCTGTGATCTAATTTCTTTTCTTAGTTTAATAATAGTTTAACATAATGTTGTAGGACTGTGGTGTTATGACAGACTTTGTCAAAACTTCACTGTAACACTTGTCTGTATGTACACATGATACAAGACAACATGATTGTTGAATTATATCACAGCACTTTAGAATGTAATAATTTGTGTTTTTTGTGCATCAACACAGTATTGTCTTGCTGTTAATCTCGCAGCGCCTTGTTTTCCTTAAACCTGCTTTAATCTATATTTTTGATATTAACACTGAATCAAATTACTGTGTAATGCAAATGGTCATTGTTTGTGCTGAAGTCATCACCAATCTTTTCAACTCTGCTGAGTTTCTCTAGCCTCTTAGCTCATTGTTTTTATATGTTTTACTTTCATTGTTGTCATCAAACCTTGTTGGCATACATTTTCAGCTATAGCTCTGATAAACCCCAGTGTACACCATTCACCCGCCACCAACGAGCAAACAAAGGTACAAAGTGGTTGATAAATCCTAGCATCCTGCTAGCTAATGATCCAAATATTTTCCTCAGGAGTTGGTGGGTGCCAAATCAGAGCTGAAGAGACTGCTACTGACAGAAATCGAACTCTATTCATGCAAATGTGTCTGCTGAATATAAAAAGCAATGGTCCAAGGCTTATGCCAAGCCATGCCATCTAACAATAGTTTGCTTCCCAGAGCAGTGGATGGACACGCCATTGTCAACTCTTATTTCAAAAAGAGTTCAACAAGTGGTAAATATACAGGGCTGCACTGGGTACATGCAAGCAGTGGACAGTTTTAAATTAAATAAAGCAAACACATGTAAATGTATTTCTCAAGGCATTTAACTATTTCTTTGAAGTTGTGGCATTTTCAAAAGGCGAAGAGTATTTGAGCCAAACCAGAATTTATCCAATAGCTAGTGAGCTGACCAGCTACAGTAGGGCTCCAGGTTTTCAAACACTTAATGGCTCTCTTTATTTTCAGTTTGGTGTGATTCATGATGTCCATTAACTGTGGCCAGTAAGCTGACACAACTTTATTGAGAAAGCAGGTCACAGAGTCCAGTCCTTTTTGTGATGTTTGAGATTGTCTTTGGAGCATGCTGGGACAGGTTTGGAGGGACTTAAAATAAGATGACATAACTTAATGGTCTTAATGAACCTTTTGCAATCGTTGTTTGCTAACAAATTTGCCATCTTGATCGCCCACTGGCCAAGAATTGATTAGTGCAGCATTAGCACAAGTGCAAAATGAAGGATAGTTCTTACCAATTGTGGGAAAATGTGACATTCAAGGAGCTCAGATTCTTTTACAAGATGGTTTCAGGGAAATCTGAGACTGGGGCCAAATTTACAAGTCAGAGGTTGAATCAGCAGCACAATTCCTTCGACTCCAAGTTATATTGGTATACTTTTTAGTGAGAGTAACTTTAATTTAGCATGTAAAAAGTGACAGAAAGAAGGGTGCACATTATTTGATTTTTATCATTCTGATTAATTTATGAATCATATGAACAATCTCAGTGCACTTCTCTGAATGTGACTCATGGTTTACTTTCAATTTGTCCCTAATTTAGGCACAAGGATGTAGTTGGGGGTGACCATTGTAGTCCAAGCACTTCTGATTTATTAGATGCATTATTGGCTCAGATAACAGGTCATTATCATTCCTCACAAAGCACAAAAGGAGAAAAAAACTGTTGGGGGAAAAAAACTCTGTGAAATTAAATCCATTACATCAACATGGCCAGTCATAGAATTTCAATGCACTTGCAAAAGTTTGAACTGAGTTGTCAATATGCTTAATCATCTTCGGTGAATCTACAGTACGGTGATATTGCTGTATTGTTTCATTTGTTTCCAGTGTTACAGCATTTACTTTCAAAGTAAAAAGGTCCCTTTCTGTGGGAAAAAAACACTATTAAGAATAACTGCACAGTGACAAATGAAGGTCATTCGTGTTTGTAAAATGTGTCCAAAGCCTTTGAGAGTCATTCCTCACACTGCCTTACAGAAGAACCTCAGAAAAAGGTCCTGCATTGTGTCTCATTTGTGTGTGTGAGTCAGTCACGCCTCTTTATCTGTCTGCACATACGCATAGCCTATTGCCTTGAGACAAAAGGAGTCACACAGTTAAACATTGTTGAAGTGATGACGGACAGCAAACTGAAGGCACAATGCACAAGGCAGCGGCCAGTAGGGGCTGGTATAGACTAGCACCACTCTCTCTCTCTCTCTCCAACACACACAGAATAAAGCAAGGCTCACACTGAATTTTTACAGCACATGCAGATATCCTGTAATCCTTACTTACATGAATCTATCTTTTGACCTACAGTTTAAAGTAGCAATGGTAGGTTGTGTATTCATGCATGACAGCAAGAAGAGGTGAGCAGAGCGCCGAGGGAGGCCGGTCTGATACTGAGGAGGGAGCAGTGTGTGGGAGGAAAGGATCCAAAGATTCTTTTCTGTCAAGCCAAGACAGTGAAAATATTTGAACACAATTTAAAACCGACAAAATGTATTTTGTTATTACTTACTGTCAGTCTAAATGAAAAATTCATCATTTTGTCCTAAATCACAGTATATTTTTTGTAGCAGAATTGTCTTAAAAACGTGTACTAGTGTATGTCCACATGTATCAGACTATATTTCTGACAGATTTTGACATAGCACATGAAAGCACATTTCGTTTTAGTTTGGCTGTCATTAATCTGCTGTAGGTTACATATAATTTGGTTTTACTAAATTATTAGTAATACTTAAATGAAGTGACTGATCTGTATGTGTGTGACCCTGTTTGAGTTACCTACAGTATAGTTATACAGTATCTCTCAAAATTGTGGGATTTGGTCCATCTGTTGTTAAGTCTGATTACAGAAAAAGGCACATTTAGGTCCAGCCTGCCTTTCAAGGGAAGTTCAAGCAAGCATGATTTAAAGGAATAGTTCACCATTTTGTTACAGTCCTACGGTCCTTTCTGAGCTGCAGAGATGCTGGTAGGCAGATTTTGTTACCCTGGGAAATAATCTAACTGTTGCTAACAGTTTCCCTGTCTTTATGCTAAGCTTAGCAAACCTGTTGCTGGCTTTAGCTTCATATTCAGCAGTACTGTCCACTAATAAGTTAATTTCTTAATACATTTCCTCATATTATTCATCCATCACAATTTGTCTTATTAGGAACAGCATTCAAACCATTTACAACAAAAAAGTATTCCAAAACAAGATACAAAATTTTTTTATTTCCAAATATATCCCTTTGCTTCCTATCGACAAATAGTTGATAAATTAATGACGACACATGATAACACACACTTATTAACAATCCTCAATGGTGTCCGAAAAATGTCCCCACACGAGAGAATGGAATGATTGTAACAGAAGGTTTTGTCTTAACAACAGAGATGCAATAACTCGACACTGGACTCTCTTCTTTGCTGCTGGCAGTGCAGCTGACCTGATGTGCTGCAGTGCATGCACAACAGAGGGAGTGAATTACACCGCAAACTGCTTTGAAGACGTATAGAGGCCTGCAGACGTCGACATATAAAAAAAATAAAGAGTCATGGAAAAACAATTACCTCAACATATTGTCAATATTCTCAGATTCTGCAAAGAAATCCCTTCAGGTTATTTTACCTTTACTCCCCCCACCCCATTTTGTCCTTTTCCACAGGGGACTAACTAGTGCAGTATAAACAACAGATAAAAATGACAAAAAATTCTGCACCGTGCTCATTCCTTTAGACTCGGCCTCAAAGCTGCAAGCTGATTTCGAGCACAAGGACAAGGTTACAGGCCCCATGGGAGTGCGTCGATGGTATTATGTTACACTGCCAACGACTCTGACAATATTGTGCCTTATTAATCATTGATCTGGTCGCTGGTGTTAGTTTCAATGCACTGAGGATTATATTCACAGTGCTAAAGGTGATGATACATAGGCAATTTTTTAAGGCAATGAACATATAAAATAGAGGTTCTAGCAAAACATATGCCTTTGAAAAGGATGAAGATGAACAGCCAAGTTGAAATGTACTGTATATGGATAATCAAGTGGATATTAAGCACAAAACATATAAGGAATAAAAACCCTTACAGATGTGGTGTAGTGGTTTAAAATCCTCCATGCAGCAACAGAAAAAAAATGGGATGGAGTACATGGAACACATCTGTATTGTTATGGCCCTTTGAGAAAAAAAAACTGACAATGACTCATCACAGTTACTGTATATTGGCACTACACAATCTGTCGGTTTACATGTTACACAGTAGAAAGCTACAAGTTTCAGAGGACAATACCCAAAAAAGATAATGCTTCAAATCTCTTAATAAAAAAAAAGCTTTTGTTTTTGTGAGGAAAACATGATTAAAATTATGTCTTATTCCCCAAATTCTGCTCTAAATTAACCTTGAGGGATATCACATTAACAGCGAGGAAATCAGAGCTTGCCAGAACCAGACGGTGTCACAAAGTCATGAGTTCATTATTCACATATTCACGTTTTACTTGAGTCCTTAAAAAAAAATCACAGGTCAGAGGTGATGCACCAGCCTTTCCCGCCTGAGTTGAGAATGTCCTACTGGAAGAGATGATGTCTTGTTTCTGTTCAGAGTGGTGAAAAATTTCCTGTGTCCTCCTGCACTTGTCCTCTGCTGTCCATTGCAGACAGGGAGCCGGAGAAACAGAGAGAGGAGAGGAGAGAGGAAGACAGACAGAGAGAGAAAATATCCATTCGTCTAGCAGCATCTGTGCCCTTTAGTTTGTCCGGAGCTGGTAATCTGCCAAGAAATGTAACAGCAGAGCATTAACACAGCTTTCTTCCCTTCATCACCCCTGCACATCACATCACTGCCAATATTAGCCATATTAAATCCCTAAACAAGATTTGCACAAATACTAGCTGTAGTGGCATTCTACTAAATCATATTACCAATATTTAACACATCTCTTTCTTAGATATTGAGGTTTCAGACTTTGAAGAGTCTTGTCAAAAGAAAATGAAGTTCTAAAAATCATTCACTTTTACATTTACTATTAATTAATTGCAAAATCTCAATATTCAATTCAGTGATGTTGCACGTGTGTATCCAGGACTGTCTAATAAAAAAGATAACACTTCATGGTCTCACCTATCCCTTTAGTTATAATTAATGGAAATGTTAATCTTTCTTTTTTTAAATATTTTTTCAATATTTATATAATAAATAGGATGATAGGTAAATTATATTTGACCAATTATTTTTTCAGAATTAAATTCTCAATGAGAGATGTGATCGAGTTACAGGAGCTGGTGGAACAGAGGTTAGCTCAGAGATGACTTCAGCTCTCTTTAAAGAAATGCTTTTTGCCAGCTTGCGTTGGAAAGAACTTCACTGGCATGCACAGAGCCCTGACCTCAGCCCCATTCAACATGGAAGGGATGAAATAGCACACCAACTGCAAGCCAGGTAGAGTTCAAAGATTCACTGACTATGTAGTTTGTACACTTTTGTCCCCAAGTTACGCATTACTATTCAAATTAGGGCTGCACAATTAACTGAAATATTATCGAAATTTAAGTATGGCCAAGTGCAGTCTCCAATTTTTTGATAAAGGTAAAATGTGTGACAAAACAGCATTTTAATGATGTACTGGAGTGCTGCAGAGGTCCTGGCAAACAAATCTTGTTCTCCAGATGTAAGAAAACATTTTTTTTCATCATGAGTGATCATGATGAGAACATTTTCTTCAACTGTGATGCAAAAATGATAATTCGCGCTAACCATCACAATCGTCATATCGAATAAAAGGATTGCAATATATATATATTTTTTTTTATATCATGCAGCCCTAATTCAAATGCATTTCAGTATGTACAACAGTTAATGAACACATCAATGATTCTGCCTGTTCAGATATGGGTTATGTTCAGTTTTTTTGCTAGTCTGAGCAAAGTTCAGTTCAGTATAAAATTAGCATATATAAGCACTGCACATAAGGTTAATAGCTCAGCAGCCTTTTATTAATGACATATTAGATTATGATTGTTTCTGTGGTTTTAATCTTTTAATGGCTTTTAACAAGGAAGTAACGTCCTGTGAATCACAGCTGAGCTGACAATGGGGCTCTGAGTCACCAGTGAGCTTCACTGCTAAAAGCTACGCATTCGGTCAGTGACAATAGTGATTTAGTACGGTCAGTTCACTATGAAAATTGATTGATAAAGATTAATTTGTATTCAAATGTGTTCATGTATTGAACACCTCTGGAACCACGCCTTATCACCAACTTCAGTGGCCGACCTCACTAATGCCGGTGTTTTAATGGGATCAAATCTCTGCGGACAGGTTACAAAACTTTGCAGAACTATAGCAGCATATCAGTGTCCATGGATTAAGAACAATATGTTCAACAATCGTATATATGTGTAACGTTCAGGTGTCCACAGTCATTTTAGTCATTTTTATTTCAGTCGAAATCAGTTGAAAGATCGAACTGCAGTGCACTGCTGCGAGATCCTATTCTGACTGTCTGATATTTGTGCAGTCCTCAGTCGTTACTGCTGTACAGTACGGCTGCTAAATGCCTCTTCATCGCTCATTAATAAGTCAGCACAGTCAGTCTACAGTATCAGGGTATTGTTTAATCAGTGTGAGTGTGTCTGCGTGTAGTGCTGAGTGAAATGTGATCATCACTGTCTTCTCTCCCCCTCCCTCCCCATGTTGCTGATGATAACAATAAGAGAAAGGTGATAGGCCTTCTCTCTAACTTCATCGCCCTTCCTTCTCTCACTCACACTCCTCTCCTGTCCCCCCCTTATCTCCTTTGCTTCCTTGCTGATGTTACTGCAAGGCAATAGTAACCTTGGCATTCGCTGAGTGCCACCCTGGGAGCATCCTGGCACTCTGTGGCATCATTCAACCTCCGCAGCCCCTGACTCGTACCTGACACATCCAGGTAATGGTTATGATGGATGTTATGGAGTCAGGTTCATTCCTAGGGCATACGTCAGGTATGAAACTTAAGGATTTCTGGCCGTGGTCCAGTGGAGGCACTGGGCTTCCATCTCCATATCATTTCCATTTGCCCTGCATTGAAACTAGTGAGCTAGTAAGGAGGATTTTGCTGCAGTCCCATCAATATACTGTAGCTTTAATGTGGCAATATACAATGATGTGTGATCTGTTCAAAATCAAGCATATATTTAAGGAAGAGATATACCTTCTTATATATTTCAACATTATTCCAAGTAAAATCTCTAGTTAGCGGGTTGGTAAAAGTTCAAAGCTCACAAACACTGAAATATCTCCAGGTGCTTATGTCCCTTGGTGTCACACTGGAGTTTGACAGACGTGATGCACAAGAGTTTATTCGCAGAGTAGCGATTGAATCTACAGATCCTAGGTGCCAGCTCCGCGAAACAAGTTTGACTGCATTCACTTGACTTTACAGTAGCCCTGTTCAAACTTGGACAACCAAAACAAAAAGAATTTTACGCCAAAAGCTTTCAGGCTTGTAAAGTTTCTCTCCTTGGCATCCTGTGTGGTGTCAGTCTAAGCCCCCGAGGCCATGACTCATGGTGATAGAGCCAGGTAATGGATATGATGGATGTTTTACAGCTGGGTTCACTCCTAGGGCACACACTGAATAGGTGTTGCAGAGAGACTGAACCTGACACAGCTCTTGCAAGGAAAACATATTTAACCTCGTGGTAACCTCCAATTTGCTAATGGGTTTGGACTTTGGACAGAAAAAGCAAAACAGTGAAACAGGAAGTCCAACTCACTGTGAGCTCTGGATATTCGTTATTAACATTCATGTTAATAGATCACATATTTTATAATGTGTTGTTTAAACTTTGCTCTTCTCTGGTTGTCAGTCACAGTCAGGCAAATCTGATCAAACCATACAGTCCTGTTGAGGCAGACTAGTTGAGTTTTTGAGTGTTAAAAGAATGTTTTTTCTGATCTTAACTTATTTTCTTCATAGAAATACTTATTTGAAAGAAGATTTTCAGGGGATTTAAAACTATAATAGCCTGTCAGATTGTAGCACCACAGTCCCTGACCTCATGTTAGCTTCCGTAAAAAATGATCTCAATGAGTTTGACACAGCCAGATAAACAGCTTTAAAATTTGGGAAGAAGAGAGTTGAGGTCACAGAATCAGTAGGGTATGTGTGGCTTTATGGGTGTGTGTGTGTGTATGTCGGTGTGTTTGTTCTCACCTCCACTTTGTGTGATGTAGCGCACCCATGGTAATGCCTGGTAACCGCTCTTCTCTATGATCTTAAGGTAACGCACCTAGGGAACACAGACAGGTTAAATATAACACATTGATGACTACCATGTATAGTCTGTATGTGGAAAATTATCCTACTTCTAAAGCTAAATACCATAAATAACCATTTTAAACCCATTAGATTATCTGAAAAATGTATTTCACAAAACTAAAAATGCTGTTTTTCTTAGCCCACACGCTGTTTTTTCTTAGGTGGTTTTCACAGGATACGAACAAAATGAAACTACAAGAACCTCCTGGACTGTGAGAAGACTTAATAAGTTATTTATTTAGTCTAGTATTAGTATGTTTGTTATGTCTAGTCTAGTATATTAGTAATGGCAATTTGCATTCACTCTGCATTGCAGTTATGTGCCAATGTCAAGGAGTACAAGCAGAAATGACGAGGAAGTAGGACTAAAGAAAGACTGTGTAATGGATGTTAATAAAGAGTCCATCCAACCTGAATCCCAGACACAGTGAAGTAGGGGATCTCAAAGTTAACTGTGATTGGTCTCTTCGCTTCCAGCTCTTCACTCTCCACACTGGGTAGCCCAAAGTGCGCCCGCATCATGTACTCCTTACCACCCTACACATGCCAAAACAGAAGAGAGAGGCCACAAAGCTGTTACTGCATCTGGTAAAACATTAATTTGTTCACAAAGACTTCCAGATAGCACAGTTTAGTTTGTTTGATGAGTTCTGTCCCCAGGTGTCCAACTCCAATTAATATAGGGTTGTTTTCCCTAAAAACAAAACAAACTTTATATTCGAGGCAACGTGGGACTACCGTCTCATATCAAGGTGAATCAGATATCAATTTATGAGATTTAACATCTGGCAAACATATCTAGGCTATAAACACAAAAAACAGGTTAATCATTCTTCATGAAAGAGATTATGTAACGCATCAGCTGAGTCTGTTAGTTTGTACTTTGGTTTTACAAATCAGTTACCATGTAGACTTTTAAGTCCCTAAGCCTTATTCATCTATAACTATTATTATTTAAAATGTATTGATATGTAAGGATATAGTCTTTAAAAAACAGATTAGCTTAGTTTTGAGTGATGACCTTTTTAAAAAAATTACTAAAAATGTTTATCAGGACTGTGTGGGTGCTATCTTATCAGTTTTGATTGATAGTAGCATAGCAACAAAGCAAACAACCCACCATTGTCATCACATTTGTTTTTGTCAAATGTTGTATGTTGTTTTATGTGACTGCACCTTTATCCATCTGTGCCCTGCCCACTTCAAACCAGTGACAAGAGCTCAGACAGAAACACAAACATTCTCCTTGGAAATAACCAAAATTGTAACTTTGGCAGATAATTGTGTGTTCATGTAGGACCTTGGCTGTCAGATTGGGAAAATTGATTTTTCAGAACATTTTATAAACTGAAAATCTTTTTCAAAATTTTTTTTTCCTTGGCATTATACAGTTGCTGTGGAAAACCTTATTATCCTATCCTTGCCTACGGCTGATAAGAAAACATTTCACTTTGTGCACAACGTACCCAAAGCCAATAAATGAGAAATCTATAAAAGATGTAGATATTCATGCTTATAAAATAGCTGATGGCAAATGGACGGATTTCTAAAAGCTTTATACTCTGTCCCCATTACAGGAGGGTAATGTTTGTAGATTAGGGTTGTAAATAACTAGACAGAGCTGAGGGCTGGTGGACTGAAAATGAGTGTGTTTATCAGTCTCTTATCAAAACAAGCCACGCTTCATCCTTGTTTCCTCAAACAAACATTACAAGTTAAGTATGGTTTCCTGTGAGAATAAGCAGTTTTATAGTGTCCAAAGGTTGACAGTGACAGAGAAAAATGCACTACAGAGTCATACACGGGCTGGATAACAATACATCACCGGTGATGGCGATTCTTAAACCTCCTCGACAGGCTGCAGGTGTAATGAATTACTGAGGGGATATCAGAACTTGACAGATAAAAGGAACCTCAACTGAATTAATGCTCTACGAGTTTTTTTAAATTTCCTTTTGAAGTGTTTATGACAGCAGGCACTGACGACAAAACAGTGACAGGAACAGCAGAAAATGGAGGGATAAGATGTGATCCTGGGTGTTTTTTTGCACGTGGGGAGGCTGATCATAATGTGATAAAAAGCTGCTGTCTAATACGTGTCAGAGTCAAAACGCAACTTCATTTTTTGACACTGGGGCGGTTCAAGCTTATGTAGATATCAGGTATCATCAGGTGGTGGAAGTAGTACTGGTTATGAAATAGTCAAAATCTCATGCTGATACCTTTATATGACATACAGAACAAGACCATCAGCGAGACAATTTTCTATACGGTTATTTTTAAAGCCCGCCACCAGGTCAGATTCGGTCAGCTTTCCCTTGAAATAAATTAAACAAGGCGGTGAAAACACTACAGCTTCAAAATGAAAATTCCTTGTTGCTGCTTTAAGTAAAAGCAGCAATACCACAGTGCAGAAATACTTAAAAAAAAGTCCTGCATTTAAAATTGGACTGGAAAAATGGCTCATTTCATTATAATGTATAACATTGGATTATAATTACTGAAGGAATAATGTGTTCACTTTAATGTAGCAGCTGGTAATTTCAATGATTTGATATACTGCTGAATAGCTTATGAATGCCCCCACGGGAACAATAAATTATGATCTAATCTTAAGCTATGATAATACATCATAATTTATTTGTTGATTATATTTTGTATTTTTAATCTGCATCTGCAAAGTAACAAATAACTAAATGAATCATATATATTGAGTGAAAACTACATTATTTGCCTCTGACCTGTAGTGGAGTAGAAATATAAAGTAGCAGAAAAAAAACACTCAAGTAAAGTAAAAGTAACTCAAATTATATAGTATTTGAATAAATGTACTTAATTACTTTCCACCACTGTGTATCATACTGATGCTGCTTTGCCTTTAAAACCTGATAGCGGTGAAACAAGATACTTCTGTTCTGCAGCATCATCATGTACTAAATGTATTTTAGGTTGAAAACTGGGATATTTTGCCACACTAACAGGGAAAGACTTGATGTTCCACTGCACCACGTTCTTCTCGGGCACCCACTTGGTGCTGCCGTTGCTGGTCTTGAACTTAGGTGAGTCAGCATCACTGGGAACTGGCACCAGAATGGACACATTGTTGGCAGTAGACCGGCTCTTAAACTGACTCCGAGCCTGTGGAAGGTGACAGAGGACAGAGTTCAAATGTCATCGGAGACCTTTACGATAAAGAAAAGAGCATGTACATCCAAATTCAAATCAAGAAGGTCTTTGTGATTATGCACACTGCAGCTTGTTATTTTGAGTCTGTGCGGCCGTCACTGGCACAAGCAGATGGTAAGCGGTAATCCACCTGAGAAGCATGTGTCATAAATACTAAATACGTTTCAGTGAAGGGACTAGAGTGTGTGCGTGTGTGTGTGTGTTTATGTTTGTGTGTCACTCATCATTACCTTCACCTTGATCTCCACACGGCTGTGAGAGAACTTCTCAATCACGCTCTCGATCCATATGAGAGGCTTCACCTGTCAGCCAGGAAGAGAGTGGACAAGGTCAGAGGGGCGAGAACAGAACTGAACTGCATCACTACGACACACATCACCAGAGTGACACAGTGGAAAGGACAGAGAGAGATTGTGTTTGTACAAGGGAGGCAGTAACTGTTAAGAAGGCTCACAGTTCACACAGATTTCAGGAACAGCGGCCCCACTCAATATCCTTAAGGTCACTGGACAGCATGTATACGAGTATGTCAGGATGAGTGGCAACACGTGCCAATGGTAGGTTAACTGAACCGATGTTTACTTTAGTTGTCATTGTAACTTGGCATTAACATGAGTGAGAGTTTGATATAGTTGTGGAATCTTACAAGTTAATACTTTACTACAAGCAAATAGAAGCTTTTCTTGGTTCATAGATTGGTCGTCCACTTTATTCTGTTTTGAGACTAATTATAGCAGAATATATCTGATGTTGTATTGACACCCTGGGGACACACTTTTATAGGACTTTGTTGATTGTGTGTTATTATAGCTCACTGATTCTCAAACTATGGTACGTTATAGTACACGGAGGAATTGTTGAAATATACAGTATATAAAAAAATTAACTGACATAATACCATCAAAATTCTACAAAATTTCAAATAAATAATATGAGATTGCTGAAATGTCATTTAAAATAAGTTTTGGATTTCCTGTAAAATTTTGTCACAATATCAAACTGCTACATAGGCACGTTAATGCACGATTTACCACAATTCGCGACTTTGAAATATCAGTAACTGAATAGGGTCGGCCAAGGCTACTGTACTTTAATTGGTCATAATGGTGGTACTTGGTATGAAAAATTATTAACAGTAAACTTTACTGGAAGTTAAATCAAGTACACAAAAACACACAATAAAATAAAATATCAAATATTTTAAACATGAAATAAAAAAAGCAAGTATCAAAAATATATCATATAAAACATTTCTGTGCTACAAGATTTATTTACATATTTGCCAACATATACGTTAGTACCAGTATATCTGTAATAAGGCAATATCAGGCACCTATCAAATTATTGGTTATACTCTTTTCATAATCACAACCTTACTATGACACAAATAGAAAATGTGTTCTTGGTGTTCCTGCTATGTAGGTGGACTGAGTGTGTGTATGTGTGTGTGTTAAAGACATTTGTCTGTGTGTCCTACTCACTGTAGTGTTGAGGCGGTAGGACATGAGCTCGCTCTCGCCGTCGGGGGGGATGAAAGAGATGGTGCGGTCGTTCTCGAAGCGTGACAGACGGACACACTGATGAAACTTCACATCCTCTAGCTCCACTGTCTTACTCTTTTCTCCTGACACACACAAACACACACACAAACAATACACACACAGAAATACACAAAAAAAGATTGAGAGCCTTCCACGCAGCCTTGGGGAAATCAAGGTCAAGGTAATGATGACTGACAAACATTCATTCAGTCTCTCTCACACACATACAAACACACACACACTGTACACGCAGTGTGCGACCAAATCCATCTGCCCTTTTCTTGTCCCCCACTGAACAGTTATTTAGCTGCCACACACAAACACCAAAACACACAAGCACACACACTGCCTGTCTTCAAAGCCTGCTGCCATCAACTTCTCCCCCACTGAAGCCCATTCAGCTGCCTCACAAAATAAATATTGTACTATCAGCCAGAAAAAAGTACACACATCTGTTACTGAAATTAAGGGATGTTTTTTTCATTACTCTGCCAAAATAAAAACACTATTAGGTTGGTTGTCAAAAAGCTTCTGATTTATTCTGCGAATTTAATCCACCTACTACACTGATGTAAGTCTTTTGTTATGGTCTTACTTTGTGAAATACACCTAGAAGGAAGTCTTTATGCGAATGGGAGATTTCACGCTGTTTTTCTTTTATGTCAGCTGAGGTGTTTCAAACCTGCCAGACACAGAGGAGGAGATATTAACCCTTAGTCTAGGAAATTACAGAAAATGCCCAATGATTTCCCAGTTTATAAAGGTAACATCTTCAAATTCCTTGTTTTGAGATTAAATTTGCGATATCTTACAATTTACTGAATTGATTTACTGGAATACTGTTAAAAGTAACAAATCCTCACGTTTGAGAAACTTGCTTGATAAATAAACTGATTTATTATTATTATTAACAACCAAATAATTGTGATAACGCAAGAGTATAGTGACCAGTGTGGTTATCAGACATATGTTAGTGACCACTTGAGCAGTGCTCTGCCCTTTATCTAACCTATACTTCTGAGATTCTTTTGGAGTACTACAGAGGCTACTATAGACAAAAATCAGCAGACAGTGTCCACTAAATCCTTTCCTTCTTGAACAAAATTAGACTTTTTCAGACAAATCCTCTCACGGGTGGAGTAAGAGTGCAGCACTGTTGCAATCGGCAGTTTAAAACGCAACCTCCTTAATGGTTGCATCTGTAGTCTGCTGAAGAAAGGCCGATGTTCTCCTCCTCCGTGGTTAATGGAGGGTGCTGAGTGGTGGAAAACTGCGGTAATGACTGTGGGCCTGTGGGCCTTCAACTAAATCCTCCATTCAACCGTCAGCTAAAGCCTGCCTCACCTGCTCTGAATGCAGCCCTGGACCAGCACTAAGGCCTGTCGGAGAGAATACTGTATGTGTGTGTGTGTGTGTGTGTGTGTGTGTGAACTTGGGTGTATTTGTGTATGCAGCTTCCTTGTTCATTGTTCTCTCTCCTGAGTGTGTGTACGTGCATAGGTTTATGTATGTTTGCTTGCTGCTTGCTCGGTTCTCTATTGATTTTGCTTTTATGTGTGTTTGCGTGTGTGTGTGTGTCCTCATGAGTGAGTGGGGACTGGCTGAGGTGAGGTCTAAGGAGTGCAGCACTCCTGGAAAAGCAAAGCAGGGAAGGCCCTTTGGAACGTCTTCTATCTCTCGGTTTCTGTTTGTTTTTATGTCAGGAACACACTCACACACTTCCATGCAGCGTTATCAAGAAGACAAGAAAGAAAGGTCATATGGGACACTCTCTGTCATTGCAAGGACCTCAGGGGCCGGAAGAAGAGACAGATGTGTGAGTTTGTGTATAGGTGTGTGTGTGTGTGTGTGTGTGTGTGTGTGTGTGTATATGTACATGTCAGGTGAGGATTGAAGATGCAGCAGTGTCCCCTGTGATTCACCTTTCAAAGCTGTTCTCACCCGTTTCTGTGCTTTTAATACACAGCAGCAGACAGGAGAAACCTAATCGGTTTTCTGTCTGCTGTCACACGTTAAAAAAAGAGACACGGGGAACTGTTTTATAATCACATTTGGTAAATGTTTCTGTCCAAAACATCTTACAGTGCTGTGATATCACTGAGATGGGTGGGCAGTTTAACAAAGTCTTCCTAGCTTTTAAAGGTTGAAGGTACAGGATACTAATTATTTTCTCAATAGAATATTAATCTGCAACTCTTTTGAAGGACGATGAATAATTTATTATTATCATCTTTCAAACAACAATGCTAAATATTTATTGGTTCCACCTTCTCAAATGTGAAGACATGATACTATAGTACAACTGAAAATATCTGCATTTTGGACGGCCGGTTAGACAAAACAAAGTTTTTGCAGATTTTACCCTGGGTGTTTTTACTAAGACAATGAATTGGATGAATAAGATTATTGTTAATAGTCCTCACATTTCCAGCTAAGAACCTTTTGAAAAACAAAATCTCCCAAATCACTCACATCAACAAGCTTCAAACAACTCTGATTAGTAATAGATAAGATTAATCTTAATTAAGAGGAATGTGAGCAGGTGTAGACACTCAGGATATTACTGACCATATTTTAGATAAAAATAAATGTATCTTGACTGAGTGATGTCCAAAATAACTCGCTTTTTGTGGGCAGTAATTTCATGCAGCTGCTTTTAATTAGAAAATACTATGAATGTAACTTGTATGACTTTTCTCTCAGTTCCCTGTAGTGACCATTCTGGATTTCTGCCAGCAGAGGGCAGTGTTAAATGATTTATACTCTCTCTGTTGTGGCTGTATCCAGCTGTGATAAAAATGTGCAGATTAGGCAAATATGATAAACACCAAATTTCTGCGAAATGATATGTAAAAAAGTGCAACTGCTGAGGAGGAGAGTGAAAACCCCATTTTAATATTTGTGTAAACATTCAGTGCGTGTGTGTTGCTGTATCTGTATCTGTGCGTTTGTTTGATCATTATTTCTGATCATTTTTTCTGAGGATATGTTATTTCCCAGACTGCAACACACAGCAGGGGGATTGTGGGCTGCATATACAGGATATCCACAGACCCTCACCTTTCATCTGCAGGGCTGTAGCCTGGGGTGAGGATTAACTCAGACGCAATGAGGCTAGACAGTGATAGAGCCTTTCCCCTTCAGTAAGGGGGGATAAAAAGTAGGCAAAAGAGAGGGAGGAAAAGAGGGAGAAGGAGGAGAGGGTGCAGGAATAGACGAGGAGAGATGTAGCAGTGGGAGACATTACTGGGAAAATTGGGAAAGTAGGGGGAGAGGAGAAGGAAGATGAGGAAGGATGAAAGCTAAGCTGGGTGAGGGATTTGAAATGAGGGGTTTAGACAGAAAGAGGAGCAGAAGGTGGAAGTGTGAGGGGGAGTTCAAGAAGTGGAGAGTGAATAGACGAGTGCTCAACTGTCAACCAGTAACATATTTACAAATGCTTTTTGCCATTTAAGCGCTATTCTAGCAATTTTTGAAGCAATTTTTGAAATGTATATATAGGATGAATTATTTTAATTTAATTTTTAAAAAAAACATTGCCTCTATCAAAACTTCTCTATCAAAAGATGTCCAATTCCTTTCACAGTTCAGTTTAAAATAAAGTGAACCCATTTACAACGTCCCACTAAAAGGGGAGAGGCAAGACCGATAATGGATGAACTTATTAAGCCTACCTGATGTCACGCATGCATACCACTACACTTAAACTACTAAACATTGCATTTTTCAAGAAGCAGCAGTTATTCCAAACCAGGGGTAAATGCACCTCAGGCGCTGCGTCAGCTGTGGAAAGACTGCAGCTCAGCCAAAAATAGAAATTAGGATTTGATTAAAAAAAAATGAAAAAAATGAAAAAAATGCTCTGCCACTCCATGTGATAAAATACTATAAATGCAAACTTTAAGTACTGTAAATAAAGAAACCAAGTCTAAACATCAACTATTCAAGTATCTCAAAATCAACTTTTAAAGAACACATTTTGCAAGTGACAGGTGGTGTAGATGAACGACTATGGAGCACATCTGAGCAACGGACCTAAATAAATGCCAACATACACCAACATTTTAAAATAACAAGCAACATGTTCCACTGAAAGTATTTTAAGTTTTAACTCAACTTAAATTATCCACAATGACCAAGTTATCACATTCGTTGAATTTGATTTGAAGTAAACTCTACTGTTTAGGTGACTATTGCTTCATCATAAAAGCTTTTCCACATATAACACGTGTTTAACTACATACACTGAGGCAGACTCATTGGTACTTACTGCCTGTGATTTCAAACAGCACTTTGTCATTGAGGCCCAATCTGAGTTCAGGCATCCCCGACAGGACCACTTTGAGCTTGATGGTGCCCACTATTTCACTCCGCAAGACACTGCCATTGGCGTTCACCTATAGACAGAAGAGCAAAGCATTATATTAAACAAGTATTCATTTATGCTTGGAAAACAGCTGAATTCTGATCACTGATTTTTTTATTGGCTATGATATCAGCTTTACAGTCAAAACTGCCCAAAGTTAACTGGAAAGTACACAAACTTTACTGTTAGCAAACTTGCACTTTAAGTAGCTTTATTTTGATAATGATATTCTACAGCTCAGTAGTAAGACTCCTAAACTGGGAGAAATAAACCAACCAACTGATACCCAGATAAGCCTCTTAGCAGATACACACAGACTGAGGGATAGGACTGAAAAGCTGTCAGTATGCAGTGTGGAAAATGTGAGCAAAGCGTTAATGTAAAAGGGGATGAAGAACCTGTGCAGACATTCAATAAAAAAAGTCCCTGGTCACAGAAAAGGAAGTGGCGACTGCAGCTCCCCAGCAGTGGTTAAATGGCTACAACTCACCAGTTTCCCTTTGACTCATCAACCTAAACCTGCAACTGTATGTGGAGTTGTCCTTCAGGTATTGCTTCAAGGACATGAAATTTCAGAAGAAAGTAATCTCTCTTCCTTTTAGTTTAAAAAGCACAGCATGTAATGCAAATCTGTTCTGTTTCTTTAGCTGCAGGAAATCTGAGCCCTTGTCTGTATTCCTCAGTTGTTTTCTTTCTCTAAATGGTTTTCATGTAGGCTAAAAACATCACACTGAGTAGTGATTAATACACTGTGGTAGACAACCTAAGGTCAGGGGAAGGCAACTATAATAACTATAAAGAATTAGAAGAATATAAGTGTCTAAAATAATAATGCAATATCTTCCTTTCCACCAAATTATCCCAGTCATAGTATTTATTGCAACAATGCATGGGGACATTTCACAACATCCTTACAAAGTCATTTTACAGCTATTACAACATTATAAGTAGATAGAGAACATATCAAAAGTTGAAAGTGTTAGTGTTAGTGTTATAACACTTATTAATTCTGACTTGCAGAAAAACCTGAATTGCCCTAATATATTTGGTCTGCTTAGATTACTGACTAAGCTTTGGAATATACAACTGTATACAGTAGGTCTCTCCCCACTGCATACAATGATGAAACATAAATACCACAAAATATTCTATTGCGAAAGAATAGAGGATTGTTGAGACAGTTTCCTTTGTAATTCAATTCAAGGAAAGAGGAAAACTGTTTGGAGGAGTCAAAACATACCAAAGTTTTGAAATTTTTAGTACTGACACACCAACTTAGCCTCAAGGGGCCATCTATTTTAAACAGAACTGAAATGAAAGTCACTTTTAAAAGATGGATAAAATAATGGCTGATAAGGAATGTAGAACTGATCTTATATACATATGACTGGATGAGTCAGACATATGTATCCATGACTTCCTGATTCGTGTTTTCTATATGTATCTACAGTATATATATATATATATATATATATATGTAGTTTTGCTTCTTGTGACCGTTATGTGAAAACTTTTGATTTGAAAACTAATAAATACATCAATATAAATATCCAGTTTCTAATTATTGATGATGAATCATGACAGCAGAACATTGTCTGTTAGCTATGCAGGCTTAAAGCAATATATTCTTAATACAGGTAAAATATATAGGTTTATGGTGTTTAGTTTGCTCAGAAACAAGCAAATAACAGACAGCCTTATGGTACAGATTTTACTGGGACTGGAAGAGTCTTTCCATCCTCGCCACTGAACGAATAATGTCCAAAAATAAATACATAAATAAACCATTCTCTAGCAGTTATCTACAGTATGTTGCACCTTTGTAGGAAGTCTGCAACATGCTGCTGTGTGCAAATCTACTTCACTTAACTACACAATTATATCTGATTGTAAATGAAGGACGTTATATTTATGAAGAGATAAACCTCCACGGACACACTGTATTTGCAAGATATGCATGACACCAGCAAGGTGACTGGACCATTTGTGCCCATAAAAACCTCATTTTGATAATGGAAGCGGCCTTAAATTGTTCAGGCTTTCTACTAACATTAAATAACAGTAAAATGTCACCTTAGTAAATATCATTGATCGGTTGATAAGAGATGATGGAAGTAATATAAAATGAACCATCAAACATCGCAAGTCTGGGATTCTTTCTGTCTCCTTGTTGAGTCAATTCTTACTTTCTGAGAATATTATTAAGAAAGTACAAAGCAACAAACAAAGCAAGTGCTGTCCTCACCAGTAGATTTACTGACTCAATGACGTCCATGAAAACTTCGTTTTTCCTGTACTTGATGCCCTCTTGGCCGCCAAGATCACAGCGTTGGGTGACGGTGGCAGGAGGTCGAGGAGCCCCGACCTCTAATTTATGACCCTGCTGGGTGATGTACCTGAAACAGACAAAGGCAGAAGGAAGTTGTGAGATATGTCAAATTTCAAATTCAGTCTGTAATCCTGCTTCAGTGGAACCCCTGAAAACCCATGAAGTACATTCATCAGGATAGTTTTAAAACTGGAAAGGCCATAGTCCTTATTAAGATGCCTGAGAAAGAGACAGAATTTCCAATTTTGGAGAAATAACATTCTTAATTTGAAGAAATCTAAATAGGAAATAGCAACAAACAGAATATGTTTTATTTGTTTGCAACATGAACCCAATTTCTCTTGAGGAATGTTTTTTATATTTTGTATTAATTACCCCTCATGACTTAAAATAAATTAGCTATTCCAGTGTGAATAAATTAAAGAGGCTTGATATTTATGTTGTGTGAAGACTATTCATGGGTGTAATTGGAAAATGGAGATTTACATAAACCCATTGTGACTGTAGCCATAGATAATAATGTGACTTACATGGATTTGTTTACATGATATGTAACTAAGTATGGCTTGGGCAAATAACCCCCCCCCCCCCCCCCCCAACATAGAAGGGTCTTAAAGGGCTTTGAGCCAGCAGGAGATGCCAAAACAGCTTTAATAGGTTTGGATTCTTAAAAGGTTGGAACCTTTAATGAGAGTCCTTTCTTTAAGAAATATTCTCAATTTAGTTTTGTTGATGGGGGCAAATCTTCGATCAGTCTTTACATGGGTTAAGATGTAGTGATTAAGATAGACATGTGAGAGGGTTTTTAGTGTTTTGATGCTCATTAAGCCATTTAGAAAAAAAGTAGTATTGCTGCCAATAGTTTTAGGAGTGAAATCTTAATCTAACATGAGTTTGGGAAATTTAGGAAAATCTCTGATATTTCTCAAATGACAGCTGGTAACTTTAGTTGAGTTGAACAACTGGAGCAAAGCCTCTGAGGCTAGTTCAACTCCACTCAGGTATGCGCATATCCACCACCTTCCTTGTGGTGCATTCAGACTGAAAGTGAAGCAAAAATCTGAGGTAGTACAAATTCTGAAAGGAAGACAAAAACAACTGATGCACACTTCTCCAAGTTTTGAATACTTATTTTGTCACTGAAAGCCAATGTAAAAAGCTGTTAATACAACCCTGAATTACTTGTTGATAGCCTGAAGATGTTAGAAAAAAAGTTGGCTATGGGTATCTACAGGAAACACAGAACAACATTAACCAAAACATGGGCAAGTAGCATACAGTAAGTTTTTAGAGCTTTTTAAAAAAAAAGCTGCTTTGTGCACCTAGAAACAATGCCAATGGAACAGGGGACGAGTAATCCAAGACAATTATGCAGTAAAAAACGCAAAACAATGAGCTAAAAAATGTGAAAGTACTATATAGAGCCCAGAGAAACCTGGTGGGAACAATTCTTTTCAAATTATATGCATTCATTTGAACCATTGTTATCATAATAATGATGATGGTGCAGCTTTAGAAAATATAATTAGATTGATAATGAATGTGTGTCCTATTCTCCACTAACGTCTAGCCTTGACTGTTCTCAAAAACAAGTCAATTCACCCTGTACTGCACTGCAGGTTGTTTCTTAATGTTAACCAGAGAGCCAGTTTGTTCCAACAATCCTGCATCCAGGGAGACATAATGACTCATGAGAATAGGAGGGAGCTGTACTCAGATAAACAACATGTGACCACGACTGTTTTTACCCAAAACACCTGCCCCCCGTCACTCTTTACTTCTCACTGGCCTCGTTTCCACAGCGGAGCTGTCTTCTAATTTATGCCACCCAATGTTCCCTGGAATAGGGACAGTTATTTTGGGGGTATTAATTCTTTTTATGTTTTTATAATTGACAACTTTATTTATATATACACAAAAATAAATAATAGCCATAGGTTATTACCCTGCAAATGACTGCCAGGTGATTTTTAAAGTAACCTGGACAAGCATTTACAGAAAAATAACTGTTTTAGACACTTTTGGTGTTCGAGTTGGTGCTGTTGACCTGCACTTAGACCTACTGTGGAGAAGTGGCGATTATTAACAAAAAGACCGGATACAGATGTTTTGCAGACATGCCTTAGATCTACTTGAATTCAACTCCATCCATTGTGCAAACCGAAATACACGCTAATATTTTATAGTGCTAACTTCAGTTGCCCATGACCTTTTTCCTCCCATAGGCCTGAGCATTTACCCCAAAGTCAATGAGTACTGACCACATGTTCCACATGAATCTGCTGATATTTTAATAACTATCTGTTTGGAAATTCTGTAGCCCCCAAAAAATTTGCCAGCAACAAGGTGAATGAAGTAATGCCACAACTAAAACTATGTTAATACAGACACGGTGGCACAGTTACATCTTGGTGCTTATTTTGGAATGAAATGTTACCATCAATTTCATGTGTGATGCCTCATGTGTATGTATGAGGCATTTCATTTCAGTTGACTAAATACAGCAGCAGGAGTGGTATGTATGTTTCTAATTTGAGAGATGGGCTGCATGTAGTTATGCCCAAATCAAACAGCGTACTAATAATGTGTCAATCTTGCTCCATACTTATTTCCAGATTGCACTGAGCTCCTGGTACCCAACATTGCAAAAATCACGTTAGTCACACCAACATTTGCTGTTAGCCCGATGGAAGAATATCAAGGGCCTGGGGATACAGGGTGTACAGATTGTGAAGCCCATAGAGACACATTAGTAATTTTAGGCTACATAAATAAAACTGACATGACTTGAAAGTTTGCACTTCTCAGGGAAATTGAGCTATTTTACATCTGATCTATACTATTGGTGGTATATCTGTGATTCAACCCATTCAACCCATGAACTCAAAACACTGTCTAAACCAGTCCCACTTGGGTAGAGCCGAAAGAAGTTGTGAACACAACACTGACATTTTATCACCTTTCAACTCGACTCTTCAAAAACAGTCACTTACACATCCAGAAGTTACGGAGCAACATTACCATTCATTTAAGTTGTGTTTTGGCCCTTTAGCTGCTAAATGCTGTTATGCTGTTCAGTAGCTAGGTGATAACTTTGCCTGTCTGCTGTTTGGTGCCGAGCAGTGTGCAGTTGGTTTTTAGAGCTTTTTAGAGTTTTTCTACCCGCTGCAGCCAGAAATGCTGCTAAGAGAGCGGTAAGAGTGAACAGTGAAGTTGCAGGTCGGACCACTAAAGGATGAGCCGAAACTAGCTATAGAGCTGAAAGCCGATCGGAGCTGCACATGATAATTCTTTGTAGGTCCATCCCTTTTCACACTGTCATTTGACACATTATTCTAAAAATATCAATTATAGCCACTTTAAACTGAGTTAACTGTTCAAGCGTGGGCCTTGAAGCCAATCAAAGCCTACTGAACAAATACAAAGCACCTTGTTTTCAGTTCAACTGTACATTTCATATATAATGTCAACAATAAAAGGTGTTAAATAAACAAGTTTTAGATTGATTGACAGATTGAGGCAACATTTTCTCCCTAGTTTTCTGTCCCAGTTCCTCCCACCTAGAGGGTCTTGAATGCATGTTGACACACAGCAAAATCTGAAAGTGCTGAGAGATGAAAGGCGGCGACAAGTGGGCTTGGGGTCGACGTTGGGTTGTTTTGTTGCTTTGCCGTTTGTTCTGTTTTGCCCTGATTCTCCTCAGAAATGCTAATGAAAGAATCTGGAAGCGGGGGTTGGCAGCAAACTGACAGATTAGCATAACAATAGCAATCATAACAAACACACACACACACACACACCCACATGTGTGAAGGCTCATACGAAGACACACACATTGTGACATTCACATGCTTGCAGTTTCACTTTCTCAGTCTCTTGCATCCGCCCACACTTGCAAACACACGCTTACACATTTACACCTTTACCAGGTAGTTAGTTTTATAATGTGAGAGAAACAAAAGCGTTTTTGTCGTGGTCATGGTATTAAAAGGTCAGAGAACTGGAATAGCCTGCAGACAGTGAGACACAGTGAATGTGTGTGTGTACTGTGGGTGTGGGTGTGGGTGTGTGTGTGTACAAGAGAGAAATGACTTTTGTGTGTCTCCTTGGAGGGGAGAAGAGCAGGGCTTTTCTGTCTGAGAGTCTCGAGTGTGTCCAGCTGACGGTGTCATTGTGTCTGAGTGCCAATAGGAGCCTGGTAATTATCAGCCCTATTCAGACACCAAACACACATACTGTACACGCACACACTGGCAACATCAGGCACAAACAGCACACAAAATTAAACATCAATCACATATTGCCAGAAAAAAAAACCCAATCACTTTTGAGCCATGAGAGTAAACCATATGCTATGCAAATTGGAACATTTAAAATATATAGTTCCCTCATTAATTAGCAACAAAGCTGGTCATGTGCACACAGAACCCATGTTACCGTGGTACTGTAAAGTGAATATTGAGCCTAGAAACAAATATCTCTCTGAGGAGCGAAGAGGAGGAAAAAAGGCAAAAACAACCCTGTGTACACAGTGAACACAAAACACAAAACACGCCCAAGAATAATAGTTGCTTCCGTTCACTCACTGAATAAAGTTAAGCCATTATAGTTTTGGTCGCCAGCTGTGTTTCGTTCAATAAAGAACAACAAATAAGCCAATGGCCCTTCAAACAGAATTATAATGTGCTCTTACTCCCATCTCTACTGGTCACTTACAGTATGAGATGAAAGCTGTTATCTCGCGTTATCTCAATGTTTTGTTCCCTGATGGACGACACAGGTACCACTTGAGCTAATGTGGTTACATTAAAATCAGACTGGAGTGCAGCAATTACGGCCTTTGAGTTTGAAACTTGAACCCTAATGTTATTAAAAATGCCAGAGCACAGTGCCAACACACATCACTGATCCATGTTTCGTCATGTCAAACATTTTGTTGACAAGATTTGGTTAGATAAGACCAGTTATGCAGAAACAGCTTCACTTTTAAAGAGTAACTAAACCCCAAACCCTATTTATATGGGTATGTAGTGTTGTTGTTGATTGATTCCAGTTCATATTCAGACATTTTAGTGCAAAAGGGCAGTTGCAACTGAATTCCGCTATTGGCTGATGTTGTGGCAGCTGACTGCGACCAGATCCTCAGACTGTTGACCCCCTGCTGCTACACTGAGCGGCAGTGAGTCTGTCCCTCTGGATGGTGTTACCTCCTGCGGCGCTCACTCCATACTCCAATACCACACTACTCCATGATAATCCTGTGCGGTCCTTAATTCACCACTCCATCATTCAATAGTATTTTTTCATTGTTATGACTTATTAATTTCATTGTATATAATAATAATAATAATAATAATAATAATAATAATAATAATAATAATAATAATAATAATAATAATAATAAGATATACATATATATGTT